AATACTGTGAGTAACCCTGAGAACAGCCAGCCATGCAAGTTACCTAAAGGAAGTTTAAAGGAATATTTGAGTAACATAAAATACTTTTATCCATGCCATAAAAGTTTTATGTTCAATGTAGAAGCTTCTTTTTGCAAGACCAGACATTGCACCCAGTGTTCCGAGGACTTTGCTTGATTAAATACAATAAAGCAGACTTTGGACTGTTTTGTAATTCTGATCGGCACCTTTCAAAATGGCCTTGGGGAAAAAATACAGCTCACCACTGTGTAGCCACTCGCGTGGTTTACTGCCAGCACTGCCTTTTCCTTTTCTGGCTCTGCTGCTCATTTGGAAGTGCTGTTAATGTATTGGTCTCTGTAGACCACGACTGCATGCCCAGTAGCACCGATATGAGATGGAAGTGCTGGGTTTCATTGCTGCTGTGGCATTTTTTTCCTAATTTGTCTCAAATCTGAAAGGCTTGCATTGCCCATGAAAAACACTGAGCCCCCGTGCAGGGCCATGTGTCTCCATTCTGTGGACAGGAAGCAGCATCTTGCACACATAGATGTGTCTCCATTCTGTGGACAGGGAGCAGCGTCTTGCACACATAGATGTGTCTCCATTCTGTGGACAGGGAGCAGTGTCTTGCACAAATAGATGGTGCGTGCAAACGCTTCCCTGTCTGCCTTTTCGTTTCTGTTTAAGTTCAGCCCTGTCAGCCCGGCTGTGTCCGTATAGAGTTTGTACATCTGAAAAGACTGGCACCACTGGAGTACTTGCAGCACCGTCATAGCCTGCTCACTGTAGAGTCGGGCTGGGCCAACCACTGAGCCTTTGCAGAGCTGGTGTTTCAAGCAGTCTGTCGCCTGTTGAGAGCAGCACACTTAGGCTGAGACAAATGCTGAGGAGCTTGGAGGATTATTGATAAACCTTGTTCTTGTCCCAAAGGCTTGATGTCCAGTGCCTTAAGGAGTCTTGTAGATTTGTGGAGTGTGGATTATGAAATGTTCTGTGATAGAAAAATGCTGTACCCAGAATTTATTGAACTATGGCTTTAGGGACTGTAGTTCCTCTTTAAAAAGAGCACAGCAGGCACTTCTTTACCAAAAGGGTTAGGGGAATGTGGAAGAAGCTTCCCAGCCATGTTGTTGAAACGGATACCCGGTCTTCTTTCGAGAAACAGCTGGATGAGATCCTTGGATCAATTAACGGCTAACTATCAAATGGACTCTCGACTGTAACCTTTAAGTTCTTCTGCCTGCTCTTTGTAATTGCTGATTTTATGTGAGCATATGGCAACACTTACACAGAGACAAGGCAAAAAAGTGAAGTGCGTAATGTTCCTCAGCCTTAGAAAGCACTTTCGTCTTCACCACATTTGGTCTTTTGGTCAATGTGGAATAGGGCCCCTTCCTGATCATTGTATACGAAGTACCTTTTTATTGTTTTTCTCAAGCTTCAAGGCCATCCGTGATTAAGCAGCAGAGACGGAGTTTCTCTGGGGGGGGGCTCGGCTGGGTTCAGCTCATATTTCTGTCGCGGTTTTTACCTCCATTCTCACGTGGTGACCCCTCGGCTCAGGAGCCGGTGTGGACTGGCTTACCGGCGCTCTGGCAAGTCCCATGGAGCGGCTGGAGTTCATCTTCTTCCGGCACGTCGCACGGAGCCGCTGTGAGCCCTGAGGGGGACGGAGCCTGGCTCCCGGAGTCGGCCGATCGCGGTGCATTTCTCGCAGGAGGGCTTTGGAATTCCCGGCATTTTTCTTTTTCTTTCCGTTTGAAATCTCAGAATGCTTTCTGACTCGCATGCCCGGACAGTGCCCAGGAATTTCCCCACGTGGTGCCGGGCGATCCCTGCTTCGTTCAGATCGGGTTCCGGCAGGGCAGAGGCAGCAAGCCGCCCCTCCCCTCTCGGCAGGGGATCAGTCGATGAAGGTTGCTACCGAGCGTCTTGCACTCGAGAGCTTCGCCGCGTGGCAGCGCGGTGTAATTGTGCTCTGTGTGGCATTGTTTCCCTCTGTGCAAGGCAGAAATAGGGTTAGCAGAACAATTCAAGTTTTGAAGCCGTTCGTGCTGGGAGCAGGCAGCTCCCGTGCTCGTAGAGGGTACTGAGGACTCGTTCTTGCAACCACTTGACTCGTGTCCCAGTGCAAACAGCTGGATAACATGCCCTGCAACTGCCTTCCGCAGTGTTCTCCTGACGCAGTTTCCACATATACTGTCATCTCAACCCAGCTCTGCCCTGCAGTGCTCTTACCAGGATTTTGCTTTGCTTTAGCATACTATGGCTAGTGCAACAATAATGGGTCTCGTGACTAACAGGTTGGGGGTTCAGCCCTCTCCTCTTGAGTGAGGTACTTTACCAAGCTGCTCCCAGTTTTATAAGTGAGGACTAGCTTTGGGGTGGGGGGGGGGATGATTTCTGTGATGGACTGGTGTGCTGTCCAGATGGGGGGGAGTCACATGTTCTGTAGTGCAGTTCACACCACAGAAACCAGGAGGAGCTCTGGTCTGATGAAGCAGTATATGGAAGCTACCTTGCCTCAGCTTGCAATACTCTGCTTTTACCAAGGCTTAATCTCTGTGGAGTTAAGAATAGAGAATAGAGATAGCTCACCAGCGATAAGAATGTTATACATACCAGTTCATCAGATTTCGGTGTTTTACAGGCTGGTGGGAAGACATTTATGGTTTACCTCTTCACAGGGAAATATCTTGCTACTGTTTTGAAGGTCATTGCTAGGAAATCTCTGCAGAGTCTCACACCTGTTGAGAACCCCCCCCCCCAAAAAAAAAACTTAAGTATTTTGTGTAAAACCCTCGATTTAAACCACGTCAAAATGCTACATGCCAGCATTTCCATCTTAAGCTTTAGGTTCAGGCGGGTACCCATCCTATGTAAGGCCGTGTGCTGAGCCTCTTGAATGTCCTTTGTCTGACCGTGTCCTCTGTGTCTGTCTCCTGTCCAGACCTACATCGGCAGCGTGGTGATCTCCCTCAACCCTTACCGGTCTCTGCCCATCTACACAGCGGACAAGGTGGAGGAGTATCGCAACAGAAACTTCTACGAGCTCAGTCCACACATGTGAGTGAGGAGCGCACTCTTTCTTATTAGAACAGTCATCTTTAATATTATTTGGAGGGTTGTTTTTGATCATAGAGGTGGCTTGGCTTTAAGAACAAAAGAGAATGGGGGGGATATTCTCCAGTCACAGCTGTTTTATCATTTTTCAGGACAGCGTGCTACACATTAGATCGGTTTCACCCTTGAGGTACCGGCAGAGTGCTGCAGTTATCGGTGTTTGACCACCCCTTCACATAGCTGGTGGTCTGCAGTCAGGAGGGTTAGTCTGACTCAGGGCAGAAACACAGGAAGGCTTTCACATGAGGAGCTGGCGTGTCCTAATGAACTATGCCGTTGCTCTCCTGACAGAACATACTGATCTCCGAGGCGAACTTGTTAACATCCCGCAGGACTGAACTGCATTCATGTATTGGCTGCCTTTAAAAACAAAAATTATCCATGCCTTCTTGATCAGCTCTTGCCAGTAGCTGACCGGTTGAAATTGTAAAGGACTTCAGGATATTTCAAAAACAAACCCGTGAAACACAGCCCTGTGTGTTCTAAACCACTGCTTCTCAAATTCTTATATATTTCGGTCTCTCCCAGCAGCCTATGTTCGGGGGCTAATTTATCTTCCACCTTTCCCTTTCCCTTTCCCTGTCTGCTAGTTTAATGGTTGTACACTTAACTCGCACAAAGCTTTTACTTTGATTTTATTTACTTTTGTTACTTTTCAACTTATCATGCAACACCCTTTTCAGCAAGCACGCATTCCGATTAGGCGGTAGAGACCAACCTTTATTCTGGAAGAGGTGCCTCTGTCCGAGACGAAGCTCTGCTGGATCGGTCCCTGTTAAAAGGCGCGTGTAACAGCGAGTTCTGCAGTCGTGACGCCTGGAGGCCCGGGAGGACAGATGTGTCCAGCTGTTTGCTTTGGCTGGCTGCGAGGAAGAGGATGTTAGTGTTTTGCCTCTATTATGTTTTTATTGGTGAGTCCGTGTGTTAGTAGGGATGTCGTGCCTAGGAGGGGAATGCCTGTCGCCTGTTCCAGGGGATGCAATTCTCATCTCAAATGCTGCCATCAGTCTGAAAGAAAGCTGCAGGATTTCTTTCCTCTGTGCTTCCTATTGAATTTCTGCAGCAGCTGCTTCTGTAATCAGCCGCAGGAACGGGGGACGCACTGAGACAAGGCTTTGAAAGGCCAGTTCTCCAAGGCCCAGCTCACCCGTTATTGTCATTAGCACGTCATTTGTTCGGTAAACATGCAGGCAGGTCAGCAGCGAGGAGGCTGAAGGAATCCACCGGCAGTGTGTTCACACTGAAGTTACATCATTTAAAAAAAAAAACTAGGGGTGTGTCTGTTTTCATGGGAGTTAGAGAAAGGCATGCTCATTTTTTGTCAGGGCAACATTTTTGTAGCTCATTTGAACCCAGTTTTGTGTAGCCTCTGCTGATGCATGTTTATATGTTCTATAGTTTTTTTTCTTCTGTAAATGGCCCAATGTCAGCCAGCTTGCAGCTTGCTGGCTCGTGGCTGGCACAGACGTTTGCTGTGAGGGGCATCACAGGGTGGTTTCATCTTCCAGTGAATGTGTTAGTCAGTGAAAGCAAATGAAATGTTTAACATAGGCTAGGAGAGCAGAGTGATTAAACATGTTTAATTAGGGCCTTCAATTACACTGGGGTGACAGTAAACATCAGTTCCGACTGGTATTTGTTAAACGGCCTATAAATTGATTTCATCTGCGTCTCGTGTCATCTGGAAGGAGGATGTGTCCTGAGTAAGACTGTACTGAAGTGGCGAGTCTCTGAAAGGCTGTGACTCCCCTGCTGACTAGGCCCTGTATTAGCCTTTACAGCGTGGATGATGGCTCTCTTGATGTGCCCAAGAGTTTTCATAGTAATCAGGATTACATTATCTGTTGTATGATCTATCTACATAAGTTAATTAAAAAAAAAAACATGTGCTAAGTCTAAAAAGAAACCTATCCCTTACACTTTCAGCAAATTCCCATAGCGATCAGGAAAATTACTGACTTCTTTCTGGCAGGTGAACTGATGTTTTATTGAACACACGTGATGTTAGTATAATATTTATAAAATTCTGTTGATTGGCATGTGTCACCAGTGGGGGGGGGTCTACTCTGAAAGAGTGTGACGTTGTACAGTTCTTCGACTGTGGCTCACGTTCGCACCAGGTAGCAGATGCCTATACGTCACCTCGATCCTTATGTCACTCATCTCTGAGCCCTAGATGCCACATGTCATCCCACAAATGTTCGATGGGCCTCAAGGCTGGCTAAGCAGAACATCCACAGTATACCTGCGCCATTCATCTTGCTAGAAAGCTACAGTCAGAACGAGGACATGTGCTGTCCTGATAGCATGTTGTCTCATCAGGAGGGACAGCAAGTGAGGTCTGAGGACTCGATCAGGGTAACCATGCATCCAAGTTGCCTTGAGTAGGAGGTTCACCATGTGGCTTCACATTAGGATGGACCGTTTTCATATTTAGAGTTTGATCTCGAGGGATGGAATCATAGTAAAACAATATTGTATAGATAAAAGTTCACTAAGATTACTAAGGATGCGGCAATTCAAGGTTAACATGGCATGGTGCATCGCAACCAATGGTCAGCCCTGCTTGCAAACATTAAATCGTTGTTGGAGTTTTTTATGCAAAGTTAAAGCTAGACTTCATTAACTGAAGAAGCTCCATATTTAAACTCATTAAACCAGTCAAACGGAACCTACTCCTCTCTGTGATTTTCAGTGGGATTTCAGTGCTGTGAGCTCTGTTCATTTCAGTCTCTGCAGGTGGGATTTTTAATCTGCATGTGGTCTGTGGTTGTGCTGCATGTTTTCCATTGGTAATTCTTTCAACATCTACCGTGTGCCCATTGGTATGAATGGAATGCATTGATCAGTGTTTGGTAAGAAAATTTATAGATAATCCAAGGTGTACTCCGGGTAGATTTTTTTCTTAAAACCTGATCCTTCATCAGCTTTGATGGAATTCATGCAATGCATAAGCACGGAAAAGAACCTTATCAGTGCTTTACGATTAGGTGAATCAATTTCATTTGACAATTACAAAGTGTTTTTTGTCCACACAAGCTTTCTTATTCTTTTTTAAAAAAAAATAAAAAATGGGACACAAGCAAAGGCAGCAGTCTGGTGGTGCCAGGGGACAAAAATGTTAATTAAAGTGGAATACCTATATAGGACTGCAAAGAAGATGTGGTTCTTTGCTCTTAAAGTATATTTGGAATGTATTGCTACGTCTCCTAATCTCTTCTCAGAGACGATGCAGGGCGATCTTTCAAAGAGATCTAGGAGATTACCAGACTGACGTATCCCACTATATATTAGTATATTTTGCATTTGTAAACCATTTGCAGTGCTGTCATGTCACAGTTTGGATTTTTACGATAGTACGAATTTCCTGAATTTCCTTCAAGGAAGCAGTTCTGTGTTCAAAGATTAACTTGGGATGCAAAGGTAGCTGTAAATGTTCCATAGAGCAGTTGAAGATAAGGGCAATAAATAACATTGAAACAGTGGTTTTGTAACAGGATTGTACAAATTTGCTTCACTGACTCACTTGCTTAACATTGTAGTGTCATTTCAAAAGCACTTAAAACCTACATCAGCCCTAAGACCTAAGCTTGAATTCTCCAAAGACCTGATATACGTTCAGGCTCACTGGTGTCTCTGTTGTGGCTTAGCCAAGTTTATTTTGAAGCATGAAACACTCGCAAAAGGTGATGACATTATATTTTACAAAACCATGCCATTTCTTTAGTGCACAGTGTCTATCATTAATGCATAAATCAGAGTGCGCTGAATTGTGTTAGCAGAGATAGTGGCAGCAACAGCTTGAATCTTTTCTTTTTGGAACGTGCCGGTTTCAAAGATGCTGAATGTTGGAGGATTTCCATTATAAAAGAATCAGGAATTATGCCACCCATTGTCTCTCACACATCTTTACAGCACTGAAGAGCAGTGGTCTCTGGGCTATTGACCCCCCAGTGTGTGGGCAGATGTACATATTTTTCTGATTTGTATTCGTGTTCAGTGTAGCCCTGTTTTATGGTGTAATATTGAACCTTGCTAATTTGTCTTCTGATCAGAGAGCTCAGCAGAAGGATGGCTGTCTTTACAGGAGAAGAGAGGCGCCACCACATACTTCTGATTAAAAAGCAGTTAGAGCTCTGCATCTCCACTGGATCTCTGAGCACATCCATTGCCCTCCGAGTACAAGATGTTTTTGTCATTACTGACCCAGAAGAATTTAAAAGATCACAGTTGTGACTATTGTAAACCACACACATCACTGTTCTGTTGAAAAGAATACTGTCGAATATCTTGTGCGTCAGCTGACAAAAATAGCAGTTAGGCCTTTCATTGTGAAGTGAAAAGCAGCCAAGGCCTTGTTTCGCAGTGAAGAGTTTTTTTTTTTGTTCGTATCCGGGGCGGAAGCGATCGGCTCAAGGCAGGCTGGAGGGGGTGACCCATGACGCGACGGGACCACCAGGCCGGGAGAGGGCTGGTGGCCTGGGCGCTGGACAGTGGCACGGCCACAGCCGCAGTGTCAGACGTAGCGCCCCTCTGAAGATCTCAGCCCTCTGGTCCCCAAGAGGTGGCTGTCACCTGTGGCACAGTGGGACTTCAGGGCTAAGGGCCAGATTGCTTTTTTTTCTGTAAATCTAAATTTCAACCTGAACATGGAAGTTCACACGCACTTGAATTGTCTTCAGTTTTACTGTATGTCCAGGAGTGGTGTCTTGGATACACAGGACTCAAAAGTCAGGTGAGACCTGTATTCTATACTGTCAGGTAGCCTAGAATTTCTGCTGGGTTTGCCGTTGTACACAGGCAATTTTCAACCTCTTCGTATTATATCTGAAGTGTTTGTTTTCCTGTTCTTCCGTGGATCTGTGCAGAAACTTGTGTACCATTAATAATGTCAAAATGCATAAATATTATCGCGGAAAGCTTTTGAGCCTTGCCTGCAAGCT